CTGGAGCAAAGGGGGATCAGGGGGGACCTTGTGGCTCTGCACAACTCCCTGACAGGAGGGGGCAGCCGGGGGGGATTTGGGATCTGATCCCAGGAACAGGGACAGGAGGAGAGGGAACGGCCTCAGGCTGGGCCAGGGGAGGCTCAGGGTGGACATCAGCGGGAATTTCCTCATGGAAAGGGCGGCCAGGCCTGGGAAGGGGCTGCCAGGGAGATTTGGGGTCCCTATTCCTGGAGGGGGCTCCTGGACATGGCATTTAGGGTGGGAATTGATGATCCCAGCGGGATTTTCCAGCCGAAATTCTGGGATTTTGGGATCTCAGCTCCTCCGTGTTCCAGCTGTCCCCAAGTGCCACATCCTCATGTTCTTTGATAACCTCCACCTATTCTGACTCCATCACCTGCCCATCCCAATATTTCCAACCATTTCCATGTTTTTTTTCCTGATATCTCACCTAAACCCCACATTGTTTCTGCTCAATCCATGAACTCAGCCTTGCAGATGTGCAAAACAGGAAAATCCTGAGGGATGCAGGAATTCCTTTAGGCCAAGCCCTGAAACAAATCCGGGCTCCTGACATTGTTTCGTGTTCAAGTTGGGTTGATTTGATTGTTTTGGGTGTTTTTTTTTCCCTTTTTGAAGCCCAGAATCCTTCAATATTTAACCCCCAAAAGAAAGAAAAACCCCATTTCTGTGCAGTTTAAATAACAAATTTTGAGGTGGGTCTGGAGTTCATTCACTCAATTCTAGTAAAATGTGATTTTTTTCATAAAAAGTCAGAATTCTGGAGTTCATTCACCCAGTTCTAGGAAAATGCGATTTTTTTCATAGAAAATCAGAATTCTGCACTGATTTTTTTTTTTTACTGCTGCTGGCTTTTCTCTCTGCTTGGGCCATCAATGATTAACCCTGGCTGGACCAAAGTCCCTCTTCCCTTTTTGAGGTTTTCCTGGGCTGGTTGCACTCCCCAGGATGCAGTTTATGATCCCAAAACCCCTCTGCTTCATTCAGCATTCTGGGATTTTGGGATTGCCCCCTTTTTTCCAGCTGGACACCAACACAAACTCCCATTTGATTTATATTCCCATTTTCCCCCATTTTTTTAAACTTTATTTTTATTTTAAAAACCTTTTAAACCCCCAATTGAATCTGCTTCCCACCCACGAGTTGTAGCTGATTTGGGGTGATTTTTGGGGTATTTTCCCCATTTTTTTCCCTGTTTTTTCCTGGTTTGGAGCTCTGTCTCTCTGCGTTTGTCACCGCGGCGGGCACAGCTGGTGGATTCCTGGCCGCAGGGGAAAATCTCCCGAGAAAAAAAAATCCCGGAGTTCCGGGCTCCTGTCTGCCCGGATTAAGGGGACTCCCTACCCTGCGGGGAGAAGAATTCCTTAATTATCTCCTTAATTAACCGTCAGCTCGAAAAATCTCTGGGAAAAATGAAGGATCTCCGCTCCCCTRCATTTCTCTCCCTGCTGGCACAAAAAGATCCTTGGACAGATCTTATTTTCCCTCTTTATCCACAAAATCCT